GGACAAATAAACCATGTGAATGTGAAACATTCAGAGCAGAAACGGTTATTTTCAGACTTTAAAGCGGCCTTTGAACGCACCAGAGTGGAGTTAAGCCGACCAGGAGCTGCCCTGTAGGCTGGAGTTTGGCTTCTCCGGAGCACAAATGTGAAGGCTTCTCCTGACAATGGCTGTGGATTCCTCCTGTCCTGCCTCTAATTACAGCATCTCTGTGGTCAGAGCTGCTCTAAATTTACCCCGAAAAGTGCTGCGTTCCCACTCAAACTGCAGGTACTGGACCTAAACCCAGCAGACAGTCTTCCTGCCTCCCCTTTACCAGCGAAATGAGACACGTTTCTCCACCGAAAACACAAAAACAGCCTCGTGATTAACCCCCAGAGGCAGAGAGGGCCGGGTGGACGTCATTCCTGGGAGGAGTTCGGCCGTTTTTCCAGGAGCTCCTGGAAGCAGAAGGCTCTTCCAGGCCGGTTTGGTTGTTTCTTTGTGGACTCAGACTCTTCCTCAGTCCTCTCATCACCCAAACCCAGAGAGGCTGAGGAGACTCTTCTTTTCTGGGGAAAATACGCCAAAATAAAATGAATTGTCTGAGAAAATAAGATGTTTGTGTTATAGAAGGTTGGACTTTAATGGGATTATTTATTCTTGTAAGGGGAAATAAAACAGTAAAAATGCTGTAACAAAGACCAAAAAGTGGAAAATCTGGGAGATACTAGAAGAACAGGAGGAGAAAATGTCCCCTAAAGACAGCAGGAGGAGCTCAGACTCTGGACCAGGTCTAGTTCCTGGAACTCCACATAGATCTTAGTCAGGGCCTCAAGCAGGAAACGTCCCAAACCTGCAGCCCAAAGGGTTAACCCTAACCCTAACCCTATCCCAAAGTGGGCTTTAAGAGCCTGCTGCTCATATGGAACAGAATATGGAATATGGATCAGATTATGGATCATATTATGGAGCAGATTATGGAATATGAAGCAGATTATGGTCAAAATATGGATCAGATTATAAGGAAGATTATGGTTAAAAATATGTAATACGGAGCAGATTATGGAGCAAAATATGGAAAATGGAGCAGATTAAGAATCAGAATATGGAGCAGATTATGGAATATGGAGCAAAATATGGATCAGATTATGGAATATGGTGCAGATTATGGAGCAAAATATGGAAAATGGAGAAGATTAAGGATCAGAATATGGGGCAGATTATGGAATATGGAATATGGAGCAGATTATGGAATATGGATCAGATTATGGAATATGGAGCAGATTAAGGATCAGAATATGGAGCAGATTATGGAATATGGAGCAGATTATGGAGAAGGTTATGGATCAGAATATGGAATATTGAGCAGATTATGAAGCAAAATATGGATCAGAAAGTGGAATATGGAGCAGATTATAAAGCAGGTTGTCTGCTGGTTAGCAGCAGCTAGCAACTCACAGCTAGCAGCAGCTAGCAGAAGCTAACAGCTAGCAGCAGCAGCAGCTAGCGGCGCCCGACTCCCTGGCAGCTCGGGGAAAACGGGCCCCGTCTGAACCCGAGCTGGTTTCCCTCTTTACGACATCTGGTGTAAAGATCAAAGCGGCCGCTCCCTCTCAGGAAGACGGGCGGCGGCCAACCAGAAGCAGGTGTGCGCCGCTCCGTGGAAAAGCGCCATGGGAACGCCGGGCTTCCCGCCGCGCGTGTGCGTGGGCGGACAAAGGGGCTCAGTGTGGGCAGGAGTTTAACACGAAAAGCTCCCCGGGCGCCTCCATAAAAGATGAGAAGGCCCGACTCAGCATCAGGGGAAGGCGGCGCGCTGCAGGTGTGGAGGGAACCAGCCAGACGGAGAACCGGGCCTTTGTTCCCCGCCAGCCCCTTTTTATGGGCTCCCAGCCGGGACTCCTAATTCCTGAGCTGAGTCCTCCAGCTTCTGCCCGCATTTTCAGTCCGGTTTTTCTCTGCTCAGCCTCTGAACTCTGAGTCATTCAGGCAGAGAAAAGGCCCCTAACTCAAGGGATGAGCCAGCGCTGTGTCCATCAGCAGAGCAGCAGTTTAACTGGACACAGAGCAAAATTAGAGGGATAAAGATGAGTTTAAAAAGTCTTCATCCACCTTTAGTTTCTTCATATTTTCCCTCAAAGCAGACAGACGTCCTTTAAAGGGTTTTTAGTGACATTTATCCAGGATTTATGAGGTTTATCAGAGTTTTTGCTCGAAAATGTTCTACTTTTTCTCTCATTTTTAGTCCAATTTGAAACTTTTTTAAAGCCACTCGAGTCAGAAAAAAGGCCCCTAACTCAAGGGATGAGCAGAAAAAAAACTTTCAAAATTACCGAAACATACAGCAAAAGTAGTAAAAACAAGCCTAAAAAGCAAAAAAAACAAAAACAAGACATAAAATGACCAAACAAATACACCAAAATAGAAAAAAAAGTCTTGAAATGATCAAATATACACCAAAAACATGTACAGGAACTTTACTTTTGGTTGATTTCTGTTCACTGTATTTGTCTGAAATAGTAATTTTTGATCTCTGTGAAGTTTCCATCGGAGACTGATGATGTGAATCGCTGAAACCCGGTACTTTCTTCATAAATAAGGTTTGATGGCAAATATAAAGTAGGTGAGATGACGCCTGCTAGAATGAAGGAACAAAAACATTTAAAGGGACAGAAGGCTAATTATCTGCGCTACAAATCCCAGTAAAGCGTCTCGATGGGAGGCAGAGGAAGACAAAATATAAAACCTGAGGCCGATCAGCCCGGTGACCTCTGACCTCTGGCTTTGAAGAGCACAGTTTAACGGGGTTAAATCGAAACCTGAGCTGAGATCTGAGCTGCCTGTAAAAACCCGGCTCTGGAGCCCGTTAGCAAACTGGGCTCTCTTACCTGTAATCCTCAGCTCGTCGCTCGTAACTCTAACCCTAACCCTAACCCTAAAAGCTTTTTAAGGCTCTCTGAAGGAGGCAAAGCAGATGCAGATGAAGCTGAATGTGATGATTCCTCTGTTTGCTTTAGCTTTAACTGCGCTACAGACTCAGTAAATAAGTCGCAATGAATTGTGGCTTGTTGGAAGAAATGGACGGATGAAGAGAATGAGAGGTTCAATGTTTTGTCCCCAACATTTGTTCATTGTTATCATTTTCAACTCTTTTTGACTCAAAATGGTGTCATCAAGCATTACTAGAGCTTTAGAAAGTTCAGTTAGCAAACAGTTAGCCATAGTTAGCCAACAGTCACTTACAGCCAACAATTAGCAAACAGTTTGCCACAGTTATCCAACAGTCAACTACAGTTAGCTTACAATTAGCCAGCAATCAGCTGGTTAACAATTAGCCAACAATTAGCCAACAGTCAGTTACAGCTAACAATTAGCCACAGTTAGTCAACAGTCAACTCCAGTTAGCTTACAATTAGCCAACAGTGAGCTAGCTAACAAATACCCACAGTTAGCCAACAGTCAGTTAGCTAAAAAATAGCTACAGTTAGCCAGCAGTCATCTCCGGTTAGCTTACAATTAGCAAACAATCAGCTAGTTAACAATTAGCCAGAGTTAACCAACAGTCAATTAGCCAGAGTCAACCAACAGTCATTTACAGCTAACAATTAGCCACAGTCAGTTAGCTAACAAGTGACCAGAGTTAGCCAACCGTCAACTCCAGTTAGCTTACAATTAGCCAAGAGTCAGGTTAACAATTAGCCACAGTTAGCCAACAGTCAGTTACAGCTAACAAATAGCCACAGTTAACCAACAGTCAGTTAGCTAACAAGTGACCAGAGTTAGCCAACCGTCAACTCAATTAGCATACAATTAGCCAAGAGTCAGGTTAACAATTAGCCACAGTTCGCCAACAGTTAGTTACAGCTTACGATTAGCCACAGTTAGCCAACAGTCATCCAGCTAACAATTAACCACAGTTAGCCAACAGTCAGTTAGCAAAGAATTAGCCACGGTTATGCAACAGTCAACTCCAGTTAGCTGACAAGCAGCATGCGGCGGGTCCCTGAATGCAGCATGCGGCGGGTCCCTGAACGCATCCGGCCCCCGGCGGCTGGAGGCGCCTCCATGTTGGATGGTGTAGACGTGACACTTCTCACACAGCAGATAAAAATAGCTCCAGCAGCACCCAGCAATCAGGCAGCTGGGTTTGGCCGCCGCCGCCCCGCCATCAGCCGCCGGCGCGCCGCCAGGGACGCTTACACAACCTGGGGTCACGTGACCCAGGTGAGGGGTGCGTTCAGGGACCAGAGGCAGCGTCTGACCAGGACCAGAGAACCATGTGGAAGGCTTGATGGTGACAGTAAAGCCGGGTTTGTTTTAAAAGTGGAACCACGGCCATTTGTGATGTGTTCAGGACCCCAAACCACCCCGAAGCTCTGATTTCCCAGCTCTGTCTGCAACCTGAAGGGGTCGTTTTGGCCTTGGTGGACTCAGTCCTGCATGTTTCCATCACACCCTGCAACTCCCTCCCAGTTTTAAACACACAGATCGTCCCTGAATGCAGCACACAGCGGGACCCTGAATGCAGCACGGAGAGGTACCCTGAATGCAGCAGACAGAGTCCCTGAATGCAGCACAGAGAAGAACCCTGAATGCAGCAGTCAGAGTGAGGAGTTTTTTAAAAGCTTTATCCTGGTTGAGCTGTTTACTTCAGGGACAGCTGGGACAGCTCTGTACCAGGATCCTTCTGTTCTCTGTTTGACCTTTGACCTCTGGGCCTCATAGCAGACGCTACTGTTTAAATCTAAAGGAAAATGCTTTTAGACGTGTTATCCAAACGGGCCAATGGGAGCAGGGCTGCTGTCCCATGTGACCTGAGAAAGGAGAGGATACTGTGTGGGATCCATTTAAATGGAGGAACATCTGAGTGGGGAATTCTGTAGAAAATCACTGAGAAACCAGCTTTTTAGGGCTTTAGATGAAGGAAAATCATTGTTGTGTTCAAAGAGCTCAGAAATCTCAGCTTTTCCTGCTTTTTTACTGTTTAAATCTAAAGGAAAATGCTTTTAGACATTTTCCACCAATCAGGTTTTGATTGTGGAATCAAAATGTTGTAAATAAGTCGTTTGGACTCTCAGAACCAAATGAACTAAATCTGTAAACAGACATTTTTAATCTAAAAATAAACCCACTGAGCCTCTATGAAGAAAAACTACCTGAACCAGGACAAAGTCTGGTTCTAAAACTGATCAGCTCCTTCTGGTCCACAGATCTGGAACAGAGCAGAAACACCAAAATAAAAGCTTTGGCTCTCCGGAGGTTACAGGTTTCTGCTGATAAAGTCCAGAAACACGTGGGACCTTCACAAACCTCCAGATTGGGGCTGATCTCAGGTGTGTGGATGGCCTCTGCCGCCCCCTGCTGGCCTCATCCGGTCCTGCGTTTGCGGCTCAAAGCTTCTGTCTGGTTCTGCTTTGTTCCAGATCTCAAACAACCCAGTAACCAATTAGCTTTTAAAACAGGAAGAACTCAGCGAGAATCCGACGTTCTTTTGTGCGAAAAAAGGCGGAAAAGACACAAAAGAGGACGTAGATTTGAGTCTTTGACTGTTTATTAACGGGAGGAACAAACAGCCAGCACAGATTCTGACAGAAAACCAGTTAGTGACCACCACACGTCCAGCCTGCGTCCACACAGGAAGCACAGGCTCCCTGCAGCAAAGCACTCTGGGAGATGGAGTTCACGGCTTCCTCCACACCTTCAAGCACTTCGGCAGCACAGAGCGACCCAGTTTGCTCCCAGTTCGCTCCCAGTTTGCTCCCAGTGCTCAGAGGAAGGTGGAAAACACCGGCTCAGACCCCCGTCTTCCCTCAGACGCACACACACACACAGACACACAAACAGGCTCACAGAAGTGTAGGATACAGTACAAGTGACGACACACTTCTGCAAAAAACACCCAAAAACGTTCACAAAGTCCACTCGTTTGGTCTTCCGCTATTTTCTCTTAAGACTTTTAAGCTTTTGATAAAAAAAGAAAAAAAAAAGACACGTAAAACACGCTGAGATTAACGAGGGGACCCCGAAGGCGGCGCCAGCTGGACGCTGAATGTGCAGATTACACTCACACAGCTTTTTCTTCCCCACTCCAGGCTCATGAAAGTCTTTTTCCAGAGCTCAGTCTGAACAAAGGAGGGCTGACAGTGGCACGTTTGGGCTCCATTTCCCCTTTAAAGGTGAGAATGTGCTCCCCCAGCACAGAAACCCCCCGCAGGCCTCCTTTAACCCGCTGAAGCACACAAAACCTGCAGCTTGCATTAAAAACGAGGCTCCTCCGACCTAGAACCCAGAAATTTGTTTTTTTTTCCAGATCTAATGAACACTAAGCCGTCTCAGGGGTGGCTTTTGTTTCCAGGAGGTCAGTGAAGGCCTCGGTCTGGACGTGTGAGAGTAAAAGAGTCTAAACGAAGGTGGACCAGGACCCAGTGGTGCTTCAAACCCTGACCAAAACCCTAGCCCTGCTAACGCTAATGCTAACTCTAGCCCTGATGACCTAACCATGCTAATGCTACACGCCAAAAACAACTCTAGCCCTGATGACCTAACCATGCTAATGCTAAACGCCAATGCTAACCCTGACCCTGATCACTCCAATTATGCTAATGGTAGCTATGCTAATATTAGCAACCTGGAAATTTACCAATACCTAACCCTAACTCTAACCCTAACAAACCCGAACTCTAACCCTAAACAACCATAACTCTAACCCTAACTCTAACCCTAACTAACCCGAATTCTAACCCTAAACAACCATAACTCTAACCCTAACCTTAACTCTAACCCTAACTAACCCTAATCATAACCCTAACCTTAATCCTAACCTTAATCCTACCCCTAACTAACCCTAACTAACCCTAACTCTAACCATAATTTACCCTAAACCTGTTAAATGTACAACAGCTATGGAGGTCAGCGGGCTAATGCTAACGCTAACTGGATCAGCACGCTAGCTAGCTAGCTCCTTTTCTATCAAACAGGACGCTGGTCTTCCCAGATGTTTAGTCTTAAATATCCACAGAGACTAAAATAAACCCTCCCCACCGGGTCGTTTTGTCCTTCCGACGAGTCATAACGGGTTTTCTCACCACATCCCGCTGATTAAAACCGAACTGGCCTCTAATCAACGCCCATAGCGACTCATGGTCTCCGGGGTAAAGTCCAACTGTAGATCTGAACCAACCCCCGACAGACCCCAAGCAGACAGGAGACACGCTGACGGGTTTTCGGAGGTTCCCTGGACTCCCAAACCCCGCCCCCCCCGTCCCCGGGGGCGGAGCTCATAGGAACAGCTCGCTGATTGGATCTGTCCGGCAGCTAAAGGGGGCGCGGCTCAGTTTCTGTGCTGGGAAATTCGTGACCCAAAGAGGGAAATGGAGCAAAACCCCCTAAAGCCACGGAGGGTTCGGCCCTCAGAACCACAGAAAAGCCACCGAGACCGGAGCCTCCGTCCAGTTTTTGGGCCTCCGACAAAGCCAGAGAAAACAAAACAGCGTGTCCTGGATCCAGATCAGGGCCTCTGGACCTGGGATTCTGGATCCAGTCCACTGGACCCAGGTCTCTGGATCCAAGCCTCTGGAACCAGGATTCTGGATCTGGGCCTCTGGACCCAATCTTCTCAACCCAGGTCTCTGGATCCAGGATTCTGGACCCGGCCCTCTGGATCCGGGCCTCTGGATCCAGGATTCTGGATCCCGGCCTCTGGACCCAATCTTCTCTACCCAGGTCTCTGGATCCAGGATTCTGGATCCGGGCCTCTGGATCCAGGATTCTGGATCCCGGCCTCTGGACCCAATCTTCTCTACCCAGGTCTCTGGATCCAGGATTCTGGATCCGGGATTCTGGATCCAGTCCTCTATATCTGAGCTTCTAGATCTGGGCCTCTGAATCCAGGTCTCTGGACCCAGATCTCTGGATCCAGATGAGGGCCTCTGGATCTGGGCCTCTGGACCCGGGCGTCTGGATCCAGTCCTCTAGATCCGGGAATCTAGATCTGGGCCTCTGGATCCAGTCCTCTGAACCCGGGCCTCTGCATCCAGATCCAGGTCTCTGGACTCGGGCCTCTGGATCCAGTCCTTTAGATCTGGCCCTCTGGATCCAGGCCTCTGGATCCAGATCAGGGCCTCTGGATCTGGGCCTCTAGACCTGGGCCTCTGGATCCAGCCCTCTGGATCTGGGCCTCTAGACCTGGGCCTCTGGATCCAGCCCTCTGGATCTGGGCCTCTAGGTCTGGGCCAAGGCTTCTGGATTCAGGTTTCTGATCTAGGCTTCTGGATCCAGGTCTCTGGACCCAGGTCTCTGGATCTTGGCCTCTGGACTCAGTCCTCTGGGCCCGGGCCTCTGGATCCGGACCCGGGCCCCTGGGTCCGGGCCTCCGGGCCTCACTGGCTGACGTGGGGCCTCAGGGCTCGGTGCAGCCCCTCGAAGGAGGGCCTGTCGGGGATGTTGCGGCTCCAGCAGCGCATCATGAGCTCGAAGGGGGGGGGGGGGGCGGGGGGGGGGGGCGTAGAGGAAGATCTGGAGGGGGGAGAGTCACAGGGTGAGACTCCACAGGGCTACACAACCCAGCAGGAGGCTAATGCTAGCTAAAGCCAGCAGGAAGTTAATGCTA